GTTTGACCGCGAGAAATAATTTACCGTGGACGCTGTGGCCAAATTGGCTTGGAACTGGCGGTGCGCGCATCGCGTTTCAGCCGCGTTCCTTCACGGCACGTTGCGAAATGCGACGATTTTGCGAGATAATTCACACCGAGGTGAATCGCACGCGCTCACAGCTCGACGCAAAGATGAGCACAAGGAGGGCCGTTACTGGTCGTTATTAACGCTCCGTTTCGCTCTGCGGACGTTTAGATAATTCTCTGGTTTAAAAGAAAAAAGCCAACATTTTATTTTTTTTCCCCCCCGAGCGAGATTTTAATAACCGACGGCATGAAAGCTTTCAGGGCAGCGGTTGCACGGATTACAAAGCGTCGTGCTCACACATCATTTAAAGGGGGGGGGGGGAGGGGGAACGCAACAAAAAATAAAACCTCAACGTAATAGCCCTCCTGCTGCTACCAGCACCACCTCGCGCGCACGCATGCACACACACACAGACACGCGCCTTCCCCTTTAACACGTGGCGCCTCACGTGGAGCGACGGTCCAGCACTCCCCGCCCGCTGCGCTCGCTGCGCCGCAGGGCACGTGGCGTCTAGACGAGCAGCAGATGAGCTTACGGGAGCCGTGCCCACGCGACGGGGGGGTGGGGGTGGCCAAGAGCCACCCGCCTGCCCACAACCGCGCCGCAACACTCACCCCCCCTCCCCCCCGCCCCGCTAAGGGCACGGAGCCATCACTTGCGGCTGCCACCGCCGCCGCCAGAGACTGCCACCCCGCGCCAGCGATGGCCACTTCCATCGGTGGCCGCCAGTCGAAATGCCGCACCTGGGAGGCGGGCGAATGCGGAACACTTTCGGTGGCTCCTAGAAGTTGTTTCAATTTGGAGGGGGTAAAGGGCCTTCGGAACTCTGCCCCAACTGAGTCGATGAGTGGATGGATGAATGAGTGCTTGAGGAGATAATGGAGTGAATGGATGATCGAGTGAGTAGATGATTGAATGAGGGGTGGGTGAGCGAGTGCGCTAGGTTGCAATCATATCAGGAATGCAGCACAGTCAAATCTGTTAAGTGAAATGTAAACTCTCACATTTGTTTGCATCAGCCGCTCCTAGAGGTGGTCGATTGGCCAGTCGATTTTTATATTGTCAGAGTTGTAAAGAGCACCAGGTTTGCTCTACATGAAGAGCGGCATTATAAAGCATAATATATTGTTTTAACAATGTCTTTACACATCGAATGGCCATATTTATTTAGGATTTGGACGACGATTTCTCTGTTTTTACCATCATGATACAGGCAATGAATCGCGTGTGTAAGAATCAACGCACGTGTATACATCTATTTATTAAATATGACTGTTATGCTAATATCACTGTTAGGCTAACAGAATGAACATTGCACAAATGAAACAGTGGAAACTACAGAACCGAGACTTAAAGAAAAAAACAAATCCAAAAATCCTTTAGAACCAAATGTCAGCGCCGATTTTCAAAAATTCATTCAAGTGCCAGGATGGTGCAACATTATATCCCAACAATTAGCCTGCTACTCCAATTAGAATCAGAAATGTATTTATATTTTCATATCAGGTCCATAGTATGGTGTAAAGGACAGTGGTGATTATGCAAATGACTCCACCTCAACGATGTAATGGATCGTCCAGAAACAAGCTCACGCATTGCAACACAGCAATGAATTATGTTTTCGATTTAAAGGTTTCGTGACTGCAAGGATTCATCTTCTTTGGTTCTTTCGGTAAAGTCACGTAGAATGAGAATAAAATAATAAATTAATAAAATAAAATCACACAATAAAAATTCTCACGACGTTTCAGCGCTGTCCTCCAGACAGTCTCGTCCCTTCACCTGATGAAGGCCGCTTGTGTTGTGGCCGAAACGTCGTGAGAATTTTTATTGTGTTATTTTATTTTATCAATTTATTATTTTATTCTCATTCTACGTGACTTTACCGAAAGAACCAAAGAAGATGTATTATGTTTTGTTAATTGCGACGAATACAGCTCCTCCAGTGGTGTCGGGGGTGGCGGCGAAGCCACCGCCTTCAGTGGAACCACGTACAAATGAGAGACAACCGGATTCCTTCGCGCAAGAATCCGCAGCATGGCGTCAGGAAGCTGACGATGTTTCATTCGAAGCATCGTCGCGGCAACAGCGGACCGTCGTCGCCACGAGCGGCTTGGTCCCCGCGGTGGCCACAATTCTCCCCACGCGAGAGAAACGGAGCGGTCCGCGAGGTCGCGCCGCTCACTTCAGGTGAACGCAACGACGACGTCACGGAGGCGAGCGCATTTCATTTGACGTTTCGCACCACGACTCGGTCCCTTCGCCAAGCAGAAAGAAAAAAAAACTAAAACCATCGACAGAGAGACCGACAGAGAGACACACAGAGAGAGAGAAGGAAAATCCAGCGGGTCTTCCGTTCAGCAGCTGCGCTACAAAAAAAACCAGTCTGGGCGCGAGCGCCCTCATGCCGGAAATCAGAGCCACGTCGCGTGGCCAGCCGACGGCACGGGGAGGGGGCCACGCTTGCCAGGCTCGGCACGCCATCCGGCAGCCGGGCAGCCTGGCAACCCGGCCGCCCGGCCGCCAGTGAGTAATTGCGGCGCTAACCAGGACGAGGAAGGGGGCGGGCGAGGTGGGGGTGGGCGAGCGCAGCAAGGCAAAATTTTATTTTAACCGGGCCAGTCAGCCTGAGGCCATTACCGCCAGCCCGTTAACGTGGATTTGGAGAAACGCTTCTGAGGCGAGCTCTTAATTAAGGGGTGGTGGGCGGGGGGCGTGGGGGGGGAGCACGGCGCTCGTTTGCTGCCACCACCCCACCGCCATCGCCCGCCACCGCCTGGGCCTTCTGGCACGTCGCTCACTCCGCACGACTCCCAACGCGAGGAGCGGCTCGGCAGTCCCCATTGGAGAGGGTGTTGATTGAATGAGTGGGCAGGGGTGGTGGGCTGGGCATGGTGGGCAAGGCTGGTGGGCAGGGCTGGTGGGCAAGGCTGGTGGGCAGGGTTGGCGAGCAGGGGCAGTGGGCAGGGCCGGAGGGCGCGGTGCCACACCAAGGGCTCAGGTGCCAGCAGTTTTCAAATTGTTGCGCTATTAGGCGCAAGTAGGCGAACAGAAGGCAAATGGTCTTGCGATCGCCTTAATTAGCATTCGCGTTTACAGCTGTCTCGCACACTCAAGGCAGCCACTGGGACATTCCACGCGTTGAACTTTGAGCCCGTGAATGCTATTTTGACCACAAAAGCTGAGCATCGGTGCAGTCACTTTAAAGTGCACGTGCCCCTCTCGTTCTTACTTCGTTCATAAAGAGGTTATACAAATGTTTGTCTAAAACACTCGCACGTTTTTAAATAAAATCGCACTTTCGGCATTACGTCATGAGATGGAGAAATTTACACTCAGAACGCCGCAGCTAGCAGTGCATCACCCTGTGCCAGGAAATGGACCCAGACAATGGCGTCCCAGAACTCCTTCTGAAGTCACTTCAGTTGGTCCCTTTATCCGCACTCAAGCAGACGCAACTTTTAACTCCCCAACGGACCGAGTTTCTCAGATATCAATCAATGCAAAACATATTTGCACATCAGAGCTGCAGTAAGCCAAATTAAGCGGAAAACCGTGTTTTTCTGCGCAGTCATTGGCGTCCAACGACCACACCTCCGATTAGCACGGTTGGCAACGTACGGCGCGAACGAAGTTCAACGTTCATCAGGCTGGGGACAATCAGTGTGCTACTCTTAAGAACATGGTATAATGAGTTGGCTGCCCACATTTCGACGGAGAATGGCAACGGTGCCAGCTCAGTGCCCTGACCTCTGTGTGACCCACCCACCGCTACATTTCTTTTTTAAACCTAAACATTTGAGATTCCCCGAGCGGCTGCTGGGATAATAATGATATATTTATCTTTCAAGCAAGACCTAACAGGTTTGCGTTTGACTCAAAATCCCAGGCTTTCTTGAAAACAATTAACAGCCCAAAAGTGAAGCGAAAGCTGTTTATAGACCCACTGTAAATGCAAATTGGTAAAACCCCCGTGCCCCTAAGCACCGAGAGCTTCTGGCCCGAAACACTTTCAGCCGATGCGCCCAAAATACCCAAGAAGCCAAAAAAGGATACCTCAGTTGTGAACTCTTCAAAGCGAGGTTCAGAGCCTTGTGCTCACAGTGCCGTTTATGTATGGTCTAGAGGGGGTGGGGGGGGGGGGGTTTGCCTCTTTGCTTTTGCAAAAAAGGTGCCAGCTGTTGTTCTTAACACTTTCCTTTCCACTGTGATAAGAGCCCCCCCCCCCCCCCCACCAGAAGCACGACAATCGACAGGGGCTTAGTGCCTTGAGCCGCAGGCCAAGCACACATCTTCAGATTGCTGCTGGCTAAACCAGCAGTCTCCTGGTGACATCTAAAAAATATATATAGAAACTAATTTCTGATCCACGAGAGCGGCCTTAAAAACCACACTCCTGGAACCGAGCCTCAAGCCAGCGAACCTGAAAAGAAAAAAACGTGGCCTTGCGTTCCCGCAGCCCAAGGATAAAATCCACTCTCATCCCGCAAATCTGAAGTTGGATTTTTTTTTGTTATTGTTCTATCTTCTCCCTCTCCTACCCCACCCGCTCCTCCGACTCCATCAGACGACGTCGGCTCGCGGAGCCCAAGGACGACGTAACGCCGACCGGCTCAGCCAAACCACCCCATCCCCCCCACCCCACTCCCCCGCACCTCCCCCGCTCAGCCAACCGCGTGGCTCAGCGATATCATCTCTTCGCTCCTTTTTGACATCACCGCTCGAATGGGGGGGGGCTAGAGGGGGCAGAGACACCCCCTCCTTCTTCTGAAGGTTCTACCCACCACGCCCCCCCCATACATTCTTATAGTTAAGTGAAATAGTCTAGGTACAAAATTTATCACCAGTGCTGGCTTTTCTTCAAAGTTTGCCAGAAACCCAAAGCTATCAACGCAATTGGCGCCCGTGCATGTCCGGTCTCCACAGCGTACCGAATCATTACTCCTCCGAGCGTTTAAAATGTGCTTTAACATCTTCCCCGTATTCCATGAGCCCGTGTCGCAGGGGTCAAGTGGAGGTGAGGTCACTGCCCCGCGTCTGAAGAGACACAGGTGGAGGAGGTGAGATCACCGCTGACGGGAGATATCCATTGTTTGTTGACATTGAACCGTGCCGTGCCACCCCACCCCCTTGAGATTTTGTACGTCCCCTTCCCCCCACCGCCCCCTTCCTACCCCAGATTTGACAAGGTCACGCGCTACAGGGGGGTTGTCGTCGGCGGGGGCGTGCATACCTGTCGCAGTGGTTGCACTTGAAGGGCTTGGCGCCCGTGTGTTTGCGATAGTGTCGCGTGAGCTCGTCGCTGCGCGCGAACCGCCACTCGCAGCCGACCCACGAGCACTTGTACGGCTTCTCTCCTGCGGGGAGGGCACAACAACAGGCGTCAGCGACGCCGGGACTGAAAAAGCCCGGAAGAACCATCGTTGCAACCGGCACTGCCGTCATGATCATCGTCGCCGTCGCCGTCGTCGTCAGCAGCAGCAGCATTAAGACGTGTAAACAAAACATCGACCGATCATCAGTGCAGCATTACGAACGCACACATCACTCCAACAATCCATTGCCTTCACTGGCTCAAAATTTCAGGTGAGGTTCAAATTCAAGATTGCACTCCTCCCCATGGTCTCACCCCGGGATGACCTCTCTCCCTGCTCATCCCACTTCACTCCCCTCCGCGCACTGCACTCCAGCAAGCAAGGCTTTCTATGGAAGCCCCCGGTCAACATTGGCTCAGTGGGTGGTCACATTCTCCTCTGCTGCCTCCACATCATAAAAAACTCCCTTCCCCCAGCCATCCGTGCTGTTCACTCCCCGCCCCTGGTGAAGTCTAGACTCAAACCCCCCTGACACTTTTATCTCTGTCTATCACCGATTTCCTCCCTATGTGAAACAAATTGTCACCAATCTTTTCCCACGGCGTCTTGAGATGTGGTCGTAGTCGGATGCGATGTGAATACACATTGTATCGGTTGTAACAATTTGTCCAAGCAAGGCCTATGCTGTGCCCCCTACAGTGATAGGCTTCAAGCATCCCTGCCTACTCCCTGTGGGGGATCCCCATGGCTACTTCCACTGCCCCCCCCCCCTTCTAACTTATAAATAATTCAATCCCACATACTTGTGAAGAGTGGGTTATTTCCGTTTCCTGCTATGTGTGTTTACACGAGGCAGCGAATGATCCACCGCCTCCTCAATTCACCTAAAGTTCTGGAAGCACACACGTGCATCAAATTGTACGCGCGCGGATCGATTGCAGTACAGTACTGTACTGGTTTGGCGTACTGTACGCGTAGCATTGGTGTCGTGCGACGCGAAGCATTCACCGCGTCGTTAAAACAAGACCCGCTTCGTGATCCAAGCCGCGATCGCAAACATCACCAGCCCCCAATCCGGTCGACACGTAGATCACAAAGAAAGCCACAGCGCCACTCTGTCAGCATCAGAGATGGGCCACCTATCATCTCTGGGAGTGCAGCGAGCGAGGAGAACAAGAATACAATTCGGCCCATGCTCTCTGGACGGGTCAGAGAGTGGAGGAGACAGAGGGGGTAAATTAAATAATCAAATGACCCTGCGGTACGTGAAAGCGCCGGATGTCTGGTGCACTTCGCGACCAGAAACCAATCTTGTTCGGCCGACCGCAGGAGCCTACGCTACACGTAAAAGGACTCCGCGAGCATCCACGTTACCGCCGGAACCATCAGTCACACGTGACGGACGGCATCCGATAAGACCGACGCTGCACCCTTTTGTCAATTCACCACTTGGGTTCCACGGTGCCGAGACATTAACTACCTCGCCTGGTGTACAGGAGGTCGTGAGTTCGATAACGACCCCGACGCCTGCTGTATGTTTGGAGTTTGCGCGTGTCTCTCTCCACGTGGTCACGTGGATTTTTCTCCAGGTCCTCCGGTTTTTCCCTCCACATTTAGAAACAACGCGTATTTAAAGTATTTGGCTGCTAAAAATGGCCACATGATAAGCCACTTCGTTGAGCTATCATTTGTGGCCAGGTCACTTCTGAAAAAGAGCTACATAGCTCAGTCGGCCTTACCTGGCAAAAATATGAAAAAAAATACTGGATGCAGGCTTCCTCCCATGCCATGTCGGGGGGGGGGGGGGTTTCTTAACCACACTTCAACAGATCTGGATCCAATATCACCGCTGATGTTTGCCATGACCGGGATTTGAAGTCAGGTGGTCGGGTTCACAGAGAGGTGCACTCGCCAAAACGCTGCCGTTCCACTCCCATCACCGATTTACATAAGTCGCATCATATTCAACGTGCGTACTATTTACACAAATTGCTAAACGCGAACATATTTCCCGCATGCACACATTGACGCGTGTTTCACAGCAGCTGCAAAAGAACCGTACGAGGATGCATAATGAACGGAGGGATCGGTATCATTATTATTATTATTTCCCAGAGCGAGCACGTGGAGGGAGCGCGTAAATCTCTCGCTGATAATCACCGGACGCGACCGCGCGCGCCGGCGGCGTCTCCGTACCAAGACCGACACCGGCCCCGTGGACACAAATGAAGGCAGCACGGCACACCGCTAGTGGGTAGGGGGGGGGGAGTGAAACGTTGCTGCTTGCACCACGTCCAGAAACCGCCACGACCGCCGACGCCAAACCTCGGCCAACATCAGTGGCGGATATTTAAAACTGGCACTGGGCCCTCCTCCGCTAGATCCACCCAGCATAAAATGACCACGGGGTAGGGAGACAAAGGCCGTTCACTCTCTAACCCCCGCCCCTCACCCGCACCCCCCAACAACTCAAACTCAAATCACAACTCTCACCGTCAGCTGACAGCTCCACGCAGGACTTCAATCGCGTTGCAGAAAATATATAACCTCTGAGAAAGTAACAACATCAAGCCAACGAGCTGTCACTTTGATGCTCTTCATAAGACTCGGCGGCTTCCTGGCTCGCGGGATGAAGAGAACCCATTGCATATACAGTACAACATTTCTCAGCGCTTTGTCAATCCACTGCTGGTTGAAGGCCTCGGCCCATTTGATGTCAGTCGTGGGGGTTGTCAGACCAGACCATACTCCGCCATGCTGGTCAGTGCGGCTCGGCAAATGGTTCAGGCTTCACCAATGCTCGTTAGCCGTCGCTGGGAATCGAACTCGAGCTATCGCCGGGTTTGTAGGGTAGCGCGGTAACCGCTGCGCGGCCGCTCCACCCCACGAAACATTGCAACATAAAACGTTGAAAAACATCAACTCGAGGATATACAGCCAGACCACTGAAATACAGCGAGACCACAGAAATACAGCCATACCACAGAAACACAGCAACCCAAACTATCACAGCCTCACTACAGAAACACAGCCGCAACAGTAACACCGCCACACCAATGCATATGCATTGTGAGCTCAAGATCCGATCATTATCGATGACTCCAGGCACTGCTCCACCCCTCATTGGAAGCGTAGTTGGGGTGGCAGCGTCAATTAATGGGAACATCTGGTCCTCCCAGTAATACAACTCCGCACTTCAATCGCCACAGCCATAACCGACATGTGACACCATTAACACGGCCCAGCCACCACTACCAATCATGGCACCTTATGTTTTTTTTAAATATCTATTTCGAAATGTGGAAACAATGTGACTTGTTTTACTTCACATTACGGGATGCTGCCACAACAGCGGCTATTGGCTAGCTATCGAACAAAGACGGTGGTCACCCAATCGCGCGGCGCTTTCAGATGCGCTTCTGCGGTCGTCTGGAACGCTCTTCCCTCCGATATGAGGAAGCAAAAATTGAGCTATGCACTTTTAAATCGTCTACATTGACGAACTCATTTCTTTAGAACTGCTTTTACCATTTAGTTTGGTGTCCTTTCTCCCGCAGCTCCGATTAGCACGGTTGGCCACGTACGGTGCGAAAGAAGTTCAACGTACATACGTACAGTGGACTGGGCTTGTTATCCAGAGGTCACTGCCGGCTCGATTCAAACTCCCGGCGTGGTCGTCGAGACAATGGAGCAAGCTTCTCAAATCCCGTCCGCCACCCTCTGTCCAGCCAGCAGGGTGGACAGAGGTCGGCAGGCCGCGTGTGGCGGGGTAAAGTGTGGGTACTCTAGCCTCCTTAAGACGTCTGGGCGGCATGGAAGCATAGGCCAAATACACCCCCTCGAGGGGCTCTCTGGAGCGCTATCGAGCGGGAGGGCCCTTTGGCCAGTAGCGGCGTGACCAAGCACTTTTGGGGACTGCACCTTTACCAACGTTTTTGCATTCACGGTCACGGTTTTTTTTTATGGTTAAGATCGCAGAGACGTAAAACGTGTCGTAAAATCCACCTCCGCCCCGACACAGCCAAACAGCCAATCGGTAAGGTGTTTGTCACGTGAACAAAACGTGCCGATGTGTTTCAGCAGGCCGGCGTGTTGGACAGCGAACCCACAACATTTACAATCTAGAGTAGGGCCTCGTCCGCTGGCGATTACAACCAGCATCATTACAATACTCGCGCACCTTCCGCGTTATAATTGCACGGCGAATGTTCCATCGTGGTCCCCTCGCTCCCAGCCCTCCCCTCCACCAACGAACGTTATAATTGGACGCAGCCATATTTGGACGGTGGTTAATAATAATAAAAAAAATACCAACACGACAGAATGTCTATTCATTAAAAAATAATCTCATAAATGATTCCCATAACGCTTACACACGGGGAAGACAGCAATTACACGTGGCAGTAACACAGCCTGTGCCGCCGCCGCCGCTGCGCGCACCGCAGTCCATTCATGATTTTTTTTTTACTTTCGAGGCAATTTATCGTGAGTTACGGCCAAGGCGCGATCATTACAGTCGCCCGGCTCTCGTATAAGAAGGTCGGTGAGCAGCGTCGCTCGCAGGAGCAGATTTTAGGTTCCCGCGAACTGCGCGCGGTTGGTTTTCAGGCCGAGAGGGAAGTTAATCGAACTCCAGAGATTCCCTGCAGTCTGAGTGTGGACAACAACAACAACAAATCCATTATCCCAGCAAATCGGAAAGTGGCTGCAAAGTGACACCTCTCGGATAAAGCTCTCGAAAAAGGCAACGCGCCAAAAAGACACGTGGGTGTGGCACACGCCGCTACGTTCAGTCACCCCGTCGGTTTGTCATGTCTAGGTTTGTTCCATTCTTTGCGGGACCTGGTGTGACATCATGTACAGCCCCATTTGGTCAATCCACGGCTGGATGAGGGCCTACCCACGCTGTGTGAGTCGCAGGCGGATATTTGATCAAATTTCATACATGGCAGCAAAGAGGTACAGTACAACAATGGATTTGGCTGTACAGCCCTCTGCTGCCCAACACGTAGCCCAGCAACCTACAACACCTATTATGGATG